TACGGGGTCAGCAAGTGTGGCTGTCCAGGTCTCTGCCACTGTGTGTTCTGGGTCCGGCCAAGTGCACAGATTCCCTCACCTGGTCCTGGCTGGAGAGGCGCCCCTTCTCAAGCAGGCCTCATGTGAAATGTGGGTTGGTGGAGACTTTTTTTTTTGGCGGGGGTGGGGGTTGGGTTTTTCTTTTTTCTTTTTTTTGAGATGTAGTTTAGATCTTGTTACCCAGGCTGGAGTGCAATGGCGTGATCTCGGCTCACCGCAACCTCCGCCTCCTCGGTCCAGGCAATTCTCCTGCCTCAGCCTCCTGAGTAGCTGGGACTACAGGCATGCGCCACCATGCCCAGCTAATTTTTTGTATTTTTAGTAGAGACGGGGTTTCACCATGTTGACCAGGATGGTCTCGATCTCTTGACCTCGTGATCCACCCGCCTTGGCCTCCCAAAGTGCTGGGATTACAGGCTTGAGCTACCGCACCTGGCCTTGGGTTTTGTTTTTAGTCTTAGAGACCACAGACACATGCAGCTTTTAGGAAGAAATTTTTGTCTGGGCATTCACTAGGTAATCCTAGCATTTTGGGGAACTGAGGTGGGGCACTGCTTGAACCCAGGAGTTTGAGACTAGCCTGGCCAACCCGGCGAAACTCTGTGTCTACTGAAAATACAAAAATTAGCTGAGCATCGTGGCCCACGCCTGTGGTCCCAGCTACTCCAGAAGCTGAGGCACGAGGATCACTTGAACCGGGGATGTGGAGGTTGCAGTGAGCCGAGATCCTGCTGCTGCCCTCTAGCCTGGGTGGTAGAGAAAGGCTCTGTCTCAAAAAACCCAACCCAAACCAAAACAAACAAAGACAACTACATACACCTTATTTGCTGGTTTGGGATAATCTGTGCAATGTATTTTCAAATGAATTGGAATTCTATTCAGTACTATTCACACCCCAATACTCCTAACATTTCCATCCCCAGATGATGAGCTGGCACTCTTCCTAGGGCTTGACTTCTTCACACAGGTTCCCAATACAAGTATTTGTGATTCTGAGTCAATTCACTGTCTACATGGGTGACCATGCAATACTCTTGTTGTAGAGTACCAATACTTTATTTATTTATTATTATTATTATTATTAATATTGAGGCAGGGTCTCACCTCTGTCACCCAAGCTGCAGTGCAGTTGCATGATCACAGCTCACTGCAGCCTTGACCTCCTGGGTCCAAGTGACCCTCCCACCTCAAACTTATGAGTAGCTGGGACCAAAGGCATGGGCCATCATGCCCCAATAATTTATTTTGTAGAGACAGGTCTCCCTAGGGGGCCCAGGCTGGTCTCAAACTCCTGGGCTGAAATGATTCACCTGCCTCAGCCTCCCAAAGTGCTGGGATGACAGGCTTGAGTCACTGCGCCCAGGTCCTGAAGGCCTTATTAATCCCAGTGACCTTTCCCTCCATTCTACTCAGATGTCCCTGTTCATTATCACACTCCGGAGTAGTGCTTATTTTAGCAGTCTTGTTCACTTCTATTTGAAAACATTTTTTCCTCTCAGATATCACCTTTTCCAAAAATGAGCGATTTCTCTTCTGGCTTTTCCTAGAACCATGTGCTGACCTTGACCATAGTACATACTTCATTCCATGGATCTTGTAAGGAAATGGAATGGATACTGCTGAATTTTCAGCATCCACTACATTGTCAAGTGTCTACTGACATTTACAAGTACTTCACAAATTAAAGAATGAACATGTGAATGAATGAATAAAACCAAGGGTCAGATGAGTTGTGTATCTGTTTGTGGTAGATGAAAATGAATGTTACTCATGGTCCTTGGACTTATATGTCTGTCCCCCAGCAGTTACTCCTGAGTATTACTGGTACTCCTGAGTACCCAGGAGGTACCCAGCATTTAACTGAGTACCACCTATGTTCCTAGGAGCTGGAGATAGAGATGAGTCAGACACAAACTGCACCTTTGTAGAGAACATACTATACGTGCAATTGAACATGTATGTGGTTATACCAAAAAGAGTAAGAACGTTGGCCTGGGAGTTCCTTTAGGTTGGCTCCTGTGTTCTATTTATGACATGCCTTTATCAGGGGATTGGGGTATGGGACTAATTCCCAACTTTCTGGCACCATAAAATGTTTTGCTTCATCTTGTATTTTCCCTGACCCAGATGAAGAATAAACCATTTATTCAAGAGTCCTTGGTTTTTTATATTGAAGAATCTTATTTACAAAGCACCAAAATCTTGGGCTGGGTGAGGTGGCTCATGCCTGTAATCTCAACACTTTGGGAGGCTAAGGCAGCAGGATCCCTTGAGGTCAGGAGTCAGAGACCAGCTTGGGCAACACAGTGAGATTTCCCCATCTCTAATTTAAAAACAAAACAAAAACAAAATCACCAAGATCGGGGTAATAGGTGTGCTCATTGCTGGTGTGTCATTGCTTCTAGGTCCACTTAGTGGGCAGACCTAGAAAATGTATTGTATGTATACTAACACACATACCTAATTTGCATATTTATGTAGCCTTATGGAAGCTTTTTTTTTTTTTTTGAGACAGGGTCTACTCTCTCACCCAGGCTGGAGTACAATGGTGCGATCTGGGCTCACAGCAACCTGCATCTCCTGGGTTCAAATGATTCTCCTGCCTCATCCTCCTGAGTAGCTGGGACTACAGGCACATGCCATTATGTCTGGCTAATTTTTGTATTTTCTTTTTTTTTTGAGACGGAGTTCCGCTGTTGTTACCCAGGCTGGAGTGCAATGGCGCGATCTCGGCTCACTGCAACCTCCGCCTCCTGGGTTCAGGCAATTCTCCTGCCTCAGCCTCCTGAGTAGCTGGGATTACAGGCACGAGCCACCATGCCCAGCTAATTTTTTTGTATTTTTAGTAGAGATGGGGTTTCACCATGTTGACCAGGATGGTCTCGATCTCTCGACCTCATGATCTACCCGCCTCGGCCTCCCAAAGTGCTGGGATTACAGGCTTGAGCCACCGCGCCCGGCCTTAATTTTTGTATTTTCAGTAGAGATGGGGTTTTGTCATGAGGCCAGGCTGGTCTGGAACTCCTGACCTCGGATGATCTGCCCCCCTTGGCCTCCCAAAGTGCTAGGAGTACAGGCATAAACCACTGCGCCTGGCCAATCATTCTTAATGGGAGTGATATTGCCCCAAAGAGGGTGAACATTGATTATTGAAGGTAAAATGAATTATATTGTTGTAATGTGTTTGTGGCCTTCTAAAGCTCAGCTCTATTCCACACAAAAAATATTTTTTGACAGAGGCTTGCTCTGTCACAGAGGCTAGAGTGTAGTGGTGTGATCTCGGCTCACTGCAGCTTCTGCCTCCCAGGTTCAAGCTATTCTCCTGCCTCATCCTCCCAAGTAGCTGGGATTACAGGCACGCACCACCACGCTCAGCTAATTTTTTTTTTTTTTTTTTTTTTTTTTGAGATGGAGTTTCACTCTTGTTACCCAGGCTGGAGTGCAATGGCACGATCTCGGCTCACCGCAACCTCCGCCTCCTGGGTTCAGGCAATTCTCCTGCCTCAGCCTCCTGAGTAGCTGGGATTACAGGCACGCGCCACCATGCCCAGCTAATGTTTTGTATTTTTAGTAGAGATGGGGTTTCACCATGTTGACCAGGATGGTCTCGATCTCTTGACCTTGTGATCCACCCGCCTTGGCCTCCCAAAGTGCTGGGATTACAGGCTTGAGCCACCGTGCCCAGCCGTGCTAATTTTTGTATTTTTAGTAGAGACAGGTTTCAGCATGCTGGCCAGGCTGGTCTGGAACTCCTGACCTCAAGTGATCCGCCACCTCACAAAGTACTGGAATTATAGCTGTGAGCCATCATTCCCGGTCTATTGTATAAAATATATATATATATTTTTTTGTTGTTGTTGTTTTTTTTTTTTTTTTTTTTTTTGAGACGGAGTTTCGCTCTTGTTACCCAGGCTGGAGTGCAATGGCGCGATCTCGGTTCACCGCAACCTCCGCCTCTTGGGTTCAGGCAATTCTCCTGCCTCAGCCTCCTGAGTAGCTGGGATTACAGACACGCGCCACCATGCCCAGCTAATATTTTGTATTTTTAGTAGAGACGGGGTTTCACCATGTTGACCAGGATGGTCTCGATGTCTTGACCTTGTGATCCGCCCACCTCAGCCTCCCAAAGTGCTGGGATTACAGGCTTGAGCCACCGCGCCCGATCATTTTTTGTATTTTTTTAGTAGAGAAGGGGTTTCACCATGTTGACCAGGATGGTCTCGATCTCTTGACCTCGTGATCCACCCGCCTCGGCCTCCCAAAGTGCTGGGATTACAGGCTTGAGCCACCGCGCCCGGCCGAATTTTTGTATTTTTAGTAGTGATGGGGTGTCACCATGTTGGCCAGGCTGGTCTTGAATTCCTGACCTCAAGTGATCCACCCACCTCTGCCTCCCAAATTGCTGGGATTACAAATGTAAACCACATCTTTCACTCAGTGACAGAAACAAGACCCACACCAAAACACATTTCTGTGAAATTTCAGAGAACTAGTATGAAGAGACTAGATTTTAAATGTTTATTATTATTATTATTACTATTATTATTATTATTATTGAGACAGATTCTCACTCTTTCACCCAGGCTGGAGTGCGGTGGCATAATCTCAGCTCACTGCAGCCACAGCCTCCTGGGTTCAAGTGATTCTTCTGCCTCAGCCTCCTGAGTAGCTAAGACCACAGGTGCATGCCACCTCACCTAACTAATATTTTGTATTTTTAGTAGCTCTATTCCACAATTTTTTTTCTTTTTGAGATAGAGGCTCTCTCTTTCATCCAGGCAGAAGTTCAGTGACATAATCTCAGCTCACTGCAACCTCCACCTCCTGAGTTCAAGCAATTCTTCTGCCTTAGCCTTCCAAGTAGCTGGGATTACAGGCATGCACCACCACACTCAGCTAATTTTTGTATTTTTAGTATAGATAGGGTTTCATCATGTTGGCCGGGCTAGTCTCAAACTCTCTTTTTTTTTTTAATAATCCAATCTTTATTTAAAAAGCTAATCTGCCAGCTTAGCGTTTTCCACCAACTCGGGGAGCTGAAACTTTCACAGGCTTCACAATCTTTTGCTTAGGTGCTGCCCTTGTAAGTGCCTTAGCAGCAGCCATTGCAGTCTTTTTAGATGCTTGCTTAGCCTTTTTTGCTTCCTTGGCAGCCCTGATAGCTTGTTCTCGTTGAGCCTTTCTAACTTCAGGTTTCTGATTCCTCTTGGCCATTATATCAGCAAGAGATGCACCAGTAATAGCCCTCTGGAATTTGCTCGTCGTGTTCTTTTCTTTTGAATTTCTTTCGACTGTCCCTTTTTGTGCTTTCTTCTGTAGAGGACAGTCCAGTTTATCTGCCGAGGATTCCTCTTGGAAAGGAACGCCGACTCGCATTTTGCATTAAGAAACTGGAAAACCTTCCCGTCGGTCCTGGCGTAACGCCTTCCCTGTCCGGGGTAGATCTTGTACACGCTGAAACTGCACAGCTCGATATTCATGGCGGCGGCTGCACGGGAAGAGAAAAGATGGCGAAGAGAAGCTAGTCTCAAACTCAACTTCAGGTGATCTGCAGCCTCCCAAAGTGCTGGGATTACAGGCGTAGGCCACTGCACCTGGCCTATTTTTATTTTTATAAAAACAAGGTCTCCTTATGTTGTCCAGGCTGCTTTTGAACTCCTGAGCTCAAGCAATCCTCCTGCCTCAGACTCCCAAAGTTCTGGAATTACAAGCATGAGTCACTGAGCCTGGTCTTTAAATGCTTTAAAAGAGAAAGAAAGTAACACAACACAAATCAAATTGTCATTATATTTTAAAATAAATACTGTAAGCTAGCAGGCAATGTTATATAATTGAAAATTCTAAATGAAAACTACATTCAATCTAATATTTCAAACCCAGTTAAGGTATCATACAAAAAGGTAGAATAAAGACATTGTCAGACTTATGAAAGTCCCAAAGTTCTGTTCCATGTTAACCTTTGTCAAAGTGCTAAACAAAACAAGGATTTGTTTTTTACAAAAATGAGACGCTAAACCAAAAAAAAGAAAAAAAAGACATAAGTTCCAGGAAACCAGTGCCCCAATATAACAAAGAGGCATAAGAAATTCCCAAGAGCTGGGCATTTATTTGTTTATTTAATTTTTTTTTTTTTTTTTTTTTTTTTTTTTTTTTTTTTGTGACAGGGTCTTGCTGTGTCGCCCAGGCTGGAGTGCAGTGGTGCTATCACAGCTCACTGCAGCCTCGACCTCCCAGGCTCAAGCCATCCTCCCAACTCAGTTCTTTTGCCAGTTGGCTTCCTTTTACTTATTCATTGATGAATCTCACATATTCATCTATTCACTCTACAGTGGTGAAACCTCATAGACATTATTTTGAGTAAGTAATAAAAGTAACACCATCAAGATTGGAACACATTGACACTGTGTGTCTCTTGATGAGATAAACCACATTACTTATGTGGTATTCCTCCCAAAGATGTATAAAGATGAGGTACACCCAAATTGAAAAACACTCTACAAACTAGTTGTCCTGGCATGGGGGGTCATGTCTGTAATTCTAGTACTTTGGGTGGCAGAAGTGGGAGGATCTCTTAAGCTCAAGAGTTTGAGATAACACTGGGCAACACAGCAACACTCTATCTCTACAAAAATTAAAAAATTATGGGGGTGTGGTGATGCAGGCCTGTAGTCCAGCTACTCAGGAGGCTGAAGCAAGAGGATCACTTGAGCTTAGGACTTCAAGTTGCATCTGGTATATGTCTGGCTATCATGGAGCCATTGTATTCCAGCGCAAGTGATAAAGCAAAGCCATGGCTCCAAAAATAAAACCAATAACCAAAAAACAAAACCCAAGCAAAACTCACCACCACCAAAAACAAAATAACCTGGATTCTTTGAAAATGTCAAAGTTATGAACAAGTAGGATACGCAGAAAACAAATAGTAAGGTGGAAGATTTAAATCCAAATATTTTAGTAGTTTCATTAAATATAATAGGCGTGTATGTGCCTATTATTAGGAGTCTGAGATAAGATAAAAGCATGGATCTCATAACAACAAATTACTTTGAAATCTTTCTTGCTTTAAAAGGCATTTACATTCTAGTCTATAATAAATACGACTATTTTACATAAAAATCTATATTGTTTATCAGATATTAGGGTTTTTCCCCCCTCTCCTCTCAACCTCCAGATAAAATTAATGCTCCCAAATAATTCCCTCTTACTATCATTTTACAAATGCCTGGCTCCAAGGTTACTACCTGATTCAAAGATATAATCCTGGTCTCCCAAACAGGTAACCCATATTGACACTCACACAGTTTCCACTCACACCTGCGACCACAAGGCAGCATCTTCGGGCCCTCGTCGGCCAAGACCCGTTCCCAGAGGGCATCCGCACACAAGCTCATCCAAGCCACGATTCTGATTCCTTTCCTGCCCCTTCCTCCACCCGATCCAGAACGCGACCATCAGATTTCACCTTCACCTTCACCCTCAGCGAAGTGCAGACCGAGCCCTGGACTCACCCATATACAGATTGAAATGTCCCGTCAGTGTTTCATCCCCTCTGCATTCTGAGGGCGAGTTAGCATCTGGGTGCATGAGTTCCAAACTAACAGCCAGCACCAGGCTTGAAGCGAAGAATTCCTAGGTTCGCATCGTGGCTGGTTTGACCGCGTCTCAGCCTTTGGACTACATTTCCCATCGGTTTACTGTTCGAAGCTACTTCCGCCGAGAACCGGAAGCACGTTTTCTTGTGTCGTACCTCAGATAACAGAGCTGCCAGAGATAATCAGGCCTGGGTACTCCAGCGGCTGAGCTGGCCCCATAGCGAGCCGCTCGGCATGAGGGCTCACGATCCTCGGTGCAGACAAGCGGTAAATGGAAACAAGCCCGGCTTGGCGATGAAAGGAACAGGGAAGCCCGCAGTAGGGCTCTGGACTACATTTCCCAGAGGATCCCGCAGGCCGCGACAAGTCTCGCGAGATTTAGGCTTCCTTTTAGCCAGGTGGCGGGATCGTTGGCTGTGCTGAATTGGCCGCAGCCGCCTGTCGGAGTCTGGAGCGACTTGGCCAGGCTGTCCCCGACCGGAACTAGAGAAAGCTGAGGGTGAGGAATCCGGCTCCGGTCCTTTTGTGTGTGGAGGGATGAGGAGAGGCGTTTGCGTGTGTGATCGCGATGGTTGCCGTGGGTCTTCGTGGTGACTGTGGCTGTGTGATGCTGACTCTGGGTGATCAGGTGGGCGCTTGTGACTGCGCACCCGAAATGTTTGAGTGTATTCTGGACGAGCCGCGCTGTGTGTGCGGATGTGGAGAACCGGTGATTGCGTGGTTGGGGCTGCGGGTCCCGGGGTGGGTGCGTGACTGCGTGTGTGTGCAGCACCGTGTGCGCGAGTTGCAGGTCTGTGGCTGTGCAGGTGCAACTTGTGTGGCCCCTTGGTGTGTGTGAGAGAGGAGAGTGTGATGGCTGTGAGGCAATCGGTAAGTGGATATGGGGAGGCGTGTGTGCGATTGGGACTTTGTGTGTCCCCTTGAGAGAAAAAAACAGGCAGTTAGGGTGGGTGGGTTCTTGGTAAAACTCCTTTAAACAGAAACTGCCTGAAAAATCAGGCTGCAGGCCCAAATAAGGAAAACTAGCACAGGGGGTTGTCCTAAAGACATTCCTCAGCTGCACTGATAAGGGACCGAGGCCCAGCATAGGAACGCCTTTGTCCTTCGTGTGACCGGCGGGCTTCCAGGAAACAGTAGCTTCTTTCGTGGGCATGTACACGGTGGGCTCTGTTAGGTTTTGAAGGGAAGGCAAGGGTTAAAGAAAGAGAGTTGGCAGCTCAATGGCGGGGGACCAGCTAAATGCCAGAGGCCATTGCCCCTAACAGGCTGGAGTAATTACAGGCCTGGGCAGGAGGGATCTGCATGGTTATGGCTTGTTGCCTGGGAGAATGTTGATAAGGATTTTTTTTGGACCTTTGCCCAGCAGGATGCGATAAGGAAGTCAGGCGGTTGGGCAGGATATTTCTCACACGCCGAACCCCCGTGGAATGTTTCCCTCTGACCATGGTCTGTGAAATGGCGGGGGCTTCCAAAACTGCAGCTTGGACTAACAGGCTCCAGTGGCCACTTCCCTTTTTTGGACATGCTTTGGACTGTGACTGATCCTCTACCAATTATCACTTCAGTCCCTGATCAGCCCTGGGCCAAACTTTCACTTCAGCCCTTGATCGGTCCTGGGCCAGACTTTCATTTCAGCCTTTGATCGGTCCCAGGCTAAGGTCCCCAGGCCAAGCTGAGTAGTGCTTTCTCCAAGACAGCCCGCAGACCAGCCAGCACATTCCTCCCCTTCCCCGTTCATAAAAACTCCAGATTCAGCCTCCTAAGTTGGCAACCTTCTTTCGGGTCCCCTCTTCGCTAGGGGAGAGCTTTCTTCTTTTGCTTATTAAAATTCCGCTCCAACCTCATCCTTTATATCCACGCTTCTTTTTTTTTTTTTTTTTTTTTTTTGAGACGGAGTTTCGCTCTTGTTACCCATGCTGGAGTGCAATGGCGCGATCTCGGCTCACCGCAACCTCCGCCTCCTGGGTTCTCCTGGGTTCAGGCAATTCTCCTGCCTCAGCCTCCTGAGTAGCTGGGATTACCGGCACGCGCCACCATGCCCAGCTAATTTTTTGTCCCCATCTCTTGACCTCGTGATCCACCCGCCTCGGCCTCCCAAAGTGCACGCCCGGTGATATCCACGCTTCTTAATATTCTTGGCCCTGAGAGAAAGAATTCCAGGCGATACTGAGAACAAGGAGAGACTGCCACATTGTGGTGCACTAATGTCGAGACTAACACTCTTGGTCAAGTGTTTGTAGGATTATGAATGACCCCATGATCTGGCACAGCAACTGTGTGTGCACAGGGGGTGTGTGTGCTGTGATTGTGCAGGTATGACTTCACCACTCTGTTCCCAGGAGACATCTGTGAGCTCAGGATAGATTCTGGCCTTTTCCTGTAATTACACTGTGCTGGACTCTCCGGTCTTCCCTGACATTCTCCTGCCTGTGTGTTGTGTGCGAGTCGCAGGCTTGAAAGGTGGGGCATCCCAACCTGGTCAGTTGGGGTTTCAAAATAAGATAAGTGTCTTACCAGTTTCTTTTTTTTTCCTTCAAAAAAATAAAAAAAAAACCCATCTTATTTCTATTTATTTCCTGAGATAGGGTCTCACTCTGCCACCCAGGCTGGAGTACAGTAGATCGATCACGGCTCACTGTAGCCTGGAACTCCCGGGCTCAAGTGATTTTCCCAACTCAGCCTCCTGAGTAGCTAGGACCACAGGCATGTGCCACCATGCTAGGATAATTTTTTTTTTTAGTTGAGTTTTGGCTCTTTCTCTCTCACAGGCTAGAATGCAGTGACGTGATCTTGGCTCACTGCAACCTCTGCCTTCCCAACTCAAGCCATCCTCCCACCTCAGCCTCCAGAGCAGCTGGGAGTATAGGCGCAGGCCACCACACCTGACTTATTTTGGCATTTCTTTTTTTTTTTTTTTTTTTTTTAGAAGGAGTTTCGCTCTTGTTACCCAGGCTGGAGTGCAATGGCGCGATCTCGGCTCACCGCAACCTCCGCCTCCTGGGTTCAGGCAATTCTCCTGCCTCAGCCTCCCGAGTAGCTGGGATTACAGGCACGCGCCACCATGCCCAGCTAATTTTTTGTATTTTTAGTAGAGACGGGGTTTCACCATGTTGACCAGGATGGTCTCGATCTCTTGACCTCGTGATCCACCCGCCTTGGCCTCCCAAAGTGCTGGGATTACAGGCTTGAGCCACCGTGCCCGGCCTATTTTGGCATTTCTTGTAGAGATTTTGCCATATCGCCCAGGCTAGTCTGAAATTCCTAGACTCAAGCGATCAGCCTTCCTTGGCCTCCCAAAGTGCTGGGATTATAGGCGTTAGCTACTCCACCCAGCTTAATTTCTTTGAACAGTTCTGTTACAAAGAGAAAGAGGAAAGAATGGTTACTGGGCACCTGAAGACCAAGCTCAAGCTCAAAGTGCTTTGGGTTTTTTTTTTTTTTCTTTTTTTTCTTTTTAGAGACAGAGCCTTGCTCTGTTGCCTAGGCAGCAGTACAGTGGCACAGTCTTGGCTCACTTCAAGCTCTGTCCCTGCCCCTAGGTTCAAGCAGTTTGTGTGCCTGTCTTTCGAGTAGCTGCAACTACAGGTGCATGCCACCACACCTGGCTAATTTTTTTGTATTTTTAGTAGACAGAGTGTCACTATGTTGGCCAGACTGGTCTGAAACTTCTGACCTCAAGTGATCTGCTGCCTCGGCCTCCCAAAGGGATAAGAAACACGAGCCACTGTGCTGAGCAGGTGGTTTTTTCTTTCTTCCCTTAAGTCGTTTTTTTCAGAACAGTTTTTTCTCCCTTTTCTGACAATTCCTGCCTACCAAAAGCCCATTCAAAAGACCTGTACTTCCCATTGGACTATATAATGGAGGTCCTAGGGTTAAAGACTGGGTGTCCTATATGTCCTGTCTACCTTAGTATTAATTTGGCTGTTTATCCTGTGTGCAGAGTCTCCTCTTAAGATTTCTGCTGGCCTAGTGAGGCAAAGACAAGAGACTTTATCCTAACAACTCAATTACTGAAGAGAAGATTAGTGCATATTCTATGTAGCAATATACACCATAGCCCTGGGATTGAAAGCCATGCAGTTTATGGGATGGTGTTAATCTCATCCAAATAGGTGACAAGATCTTTTAATTTGCTATATTTTAGGGGTAGGAATGAGATTGGGGGCTTGATCAATAGTTTGTACCAACAGGACCAGAGATTTGCCCAGTCATTGGTGCGGAAATGCTTGGGCCAGTGTCCACATCTGTATTGCATTAAATTCTCAGGGCTGGGTGCGGTGGCTCACACCTGTAATACCAGCACTTTGGGAGGCCGAGGTGGGCAGATCATGAGGTCGGGAGTTCAAGACCAGTCTGGCCAACATAGTGACACTCTGTCTCTACTAAAAATACAAAAAATTAGCCGGGCATGGTGGCACATGCCTATAATCTCAGCTACTCTGGAGGCTGAAATAGGAGAATTTCTTGAACCCAGGAGGCAGAGGTTACAGTGAGCCTTTGGCCTTTGGCTTTTTATATGTTAGTGGTTTTAGTGGTTGACCAATAGCTTTGATGGGGGCTGGTCGTCAGAAAGACCAAGGCAGGATTAGATGGTTGCGACTTTCAGCCTACCCTCCCACCTCTGGGGAATGGAGGGGACTGAGGATTAAGTTGACGGCAAGTGGCCAATGGTTTAATCAATCATGCCTATGTAATGAAGCCTACTTACAAACCCAAAAAGAATGGATTTGGAGAGCTTCCAGACAGCTGAACATGTGGAGGTTCCTGGAGGGTTGTGACCAGGGAGGGCATAGAAGCTCTGTGCCCCTTCCCCCAGAGCTCACCCTAGGCATCTCTTCATCTGTATCCTTTGGAATATCCTTATAATCAGCCAGTAAATGTGTTTCCCTGAGATCTGTGAGCCATTCTATTCTAGCAAATTAATTGAACCCAAAGAGGGGGTTGTAGGAACCACAAATCAAACTCATCAGTCAGAAGTTCCAGAGGCTGGGACTTGTGACTGGTGTCTCAAAGGTAAGCAGTTTTGGGGACTGAGCCCTCAACCTGTGGGATGAGATAGTGTCAGAATAGAATTGGCGGACATTTAAATGCCATGTATGAGGTTTTTATGATGACAAGAAAAAAATCAAATGTGAAGAACATATTTCAAAATTACATGTGTACTGTGGTCACATCTGCATTGTTCTGCGTATGGAAAACAGATGGGGAGAAATAGCTTTAAGTCCTAACAGTAATTTTCTTTTTCTTCCTTTTCTTCTTCTTTTTTTTTTCTTTTGCCTGACTCCCTCAATAATGCATGTCTTTCCTATTACAAAGTATTATACATCAACCAACAAGACTAGTTTCACATTTTTTGATTTTTGTCTTTGAGAAACATTCTTCTGCATACAACTTCATACTTTCAAAATTCTCTGGCTTGGCTCGGTGGCTCATGCCGGTAATCCCAACACTTTGGGAGGCCCAAGTTGGATGGATCGCTTGAGGCCAGAAGTTTGAGACCAGTCTGGCCAACATGGTGAAATTATGTCTCTACCAAAAATATCAAAAAAAATAAGCCAGGTGTGGTGGTGTGTGCTGTATTCCCAGCTACTTTGGTGGCTGAGGCACAAGAATCCTTGAACCCAGGAGGCAGAGGTTACAGTGAGCTATGATCACTTCACTGCACTCTAGTATCGGCCACAGATTGAGACTTGTCTCAAAAAAAAAAATTCTTTGGATAAGTTCCTAGAAATGGAATTTCCAGGTCAGCCACTAGATATTATTAATGGATTGAATATGAAAAGCCTTTACTTGAGGATATATAAAGCTTTAAAAGACATGGTCCCTGTCCTTAAGTTATAAATAAAGGAACATTTGTAAGGTAATATTTAGAAAACATCAGATAATATCCTATAAAGTCCTCCTGTTCATGCTGATGACATTGGATGGCCAGTTAAGGATGACACTTCATTCTGCCCCCTGCAACCACAGTCCTGTCATGTGTACATGATACTGACCGTATGAGAACCCTGTGGATGTGAATACATTTCCTCAAGTTTGCTTTTTGGCTTGCTGGTTTTAATCTAATGGTGTTATATCCAAAGTGAACTAACGGAGTGAAATGATTGTGCATCTGTTGTGGGGGACACAGTGACAGCTAGAGCAAGGGCAGACAAGTGCTGAACTCATCTGTTCTAAGAGCCAAAGCAAGCAGCAGTGTTGCCAGCAGAGCTACTGCACATTTGTACATGTGGCTCCAATGGCTCTGACCTGTTTTTTCCCAGTGTGACCCTAATACATGGGGAAAGTTAGAAAGAGAGTTGGCTGGGCAGCATGGCTCACGCCTGTAATCCCAGTACTTTGCAAGCCAAGGTGGGTGGATCACTTGAGGCCAGGAGTTCGAGACCAGTCTCAGCAACATAGTGAAACCCTGTCTCTACTAAAAATACAAAAATTAGCCAGGCATTGTGGTGGATGCTTGTAATTCCAGCTACTCAGGAGGCTGAGATTACTGTGAGCTGAGATCAGGCCATTGCACTCCAGCCTGGGTGACAGAGCGAGACTCTGTCTCAAAATAAAAAAAAGGAAAGAAAATCAGAGCTTGTTAGCCACTTGCAGCCAAAGTAACAACACATGTGCACAAAAATTATTCAGTAAAAGCAAAATAGTTTTGGCATATCTTGAGATTTTGTTTTATATCCAAAAAAAGACTATATATCTTTGAACTACTCCTCGGAAAATGGCTTCTTTATAACAAATATTATAGTTTTCTTCTAATTGGATCTTGAGGTCTCTTTCAGGAGAATGACTATGAACTCTAGCCTCAACCTAATGGGGCTCTAGGGGTGGGGCTTGTAGGCCTTTACAGTGGCCTTTCACAGGACATTTCTTTTTCCTGACCCACGGCCTAATGCTCAAGTGTTTGACCCGTGACCAGGTGTCTCACAGGATGCCCTTGTAACTCTTGTCTGGCCTGTGTCCAGTTTATTCCTACCAAGATAACCACTTTTTTTTTTTTTTTTTGAGACAGAATGTTGCTCTGCTGCCTATGCTAGCGTGGAGTGGCAGGATCACAGCTAACTGCAGCCTCAGCCTCCTGGGCTCAAGCAATTCTCCTACCTTAGTCTTCCAAGTAGCTGGGACTACAGGCATATGCCACCACATCTGACTAATTTGTATATTATATATATTTTTTAGAGATGGGGTTTTGCCATGTTGCCCAGGTTGGTCTTGGTCTTGAACTCCTAAGCTCAAACAATTCACCTGCCTTGGCCTCCCACAGTGCTGTGACTACAGGTGTGAGTTACCACACCTAGCCAATGTACATTTAATTATCAAAGTACTATCTATACTATTTTATCGAAGTTCTAATTATCAAAAATGCAGCAGAGGTTTTTAAGCTTTTTGTAGATATTTTTGAAAGATCTTGTCTTCCTTTAGGAAATGAGAAAAGGCTGGGTGTGGTGGCTCATGCCTCTAATCCTAGCACTTTGGGAGGCCAAAGCAGGTGGATTGCTTGAGCTCAGGAGTTTGAGAGCAGCCTGGGGAAATGGCAAAACCTTGTTTCTACTAAAAATACAAAAAACTAGCTGGGCAGGGTGGCACATGTCTATAGTCTAAGCTAACACAGAGGCTGAAATGGGAGGATCACCTGAGCCTGGAAGGTTGAGGCTGCAGTGAGCTATGATTGTGCCACTGCACTCCAGCCTGGGCAACAGAAGGAGACCCTGTCTCAAAACAAAAATGAAAACTAAGAGAAGAGGGAAAAAAAAGAAAGAAAATGGGAAGGGAGGAGTGCCTGTTTTTATTAAGAGTTTGTTGTAAATAATTTGCATATCAGATGTTGACTGTAATATTCTTTCAGCTTTGCTAGGCCTACAGCTTGCTGTGTGCTTTATTTCATTTACTTGGGAAATAATATATCAATGTGTTTTATTCATTCCCAGCGCAAACCATGGAATATTGGGAATGTCCCATATTATGAAGGAGGTATGCTGGCAGCAACAGGAAGATCCATGAACATGGAGGTACTTTGTTGAAGTTACACTAATTTTGTTACTCTTCCCCACTCTCAGCCTAGCCAGTCTGCTCAGTATAATATTCTCTCCAACTTTGAGCACCCTTTCCATCTCCGCCTTCATCTTAAAAACCTTTCCTTTAATTTCAACAGCACTGCATGGGTTTGTCATTTCAGGGGTTGGTCAGGTTCCAGGATCTGTCTATAGACTTCTCTCAGGAGGAATGGGAGTGCCTGAATTCTGCTCAAAAGGACTTATACAGAGATGTAATGATGGAGACCTACAACAGCCTGCTCTCACTAGGTAAGGATGTCTATCCCCAAATAACTCATGAATTTTGGCTGCACCTTTTTATTTCATTTCTTTTTTTGAGACGGAGTTTCACTCTTGTTGCTCAGGCTGGTGTGCAATGACACAATCCTGGCTCACTGCAATCTCCACCTCCCAGGTTCAAGCGATTCTCCTGCCTCAGCTTCCTGTGTAGCTGGGATTATAGGCATGTGCTACCATGCTCAGCTAATTTTGTATTTTTGGTAGAGACAGAGTTTCTCCATGTTGGTCAGGCTGGTCTTGAACTTCTGACCTCAGGTGATCCACCCGCCTTGGCCCTACAAAGTGCTGGGATTACAGGCGTGAGCCACCGCGCCCAGCTGGATGCACCTTTCAGTTGTATGGGTGAATTTTCACCTGTTGCCTAGAGAATTGTTTTGTGTTTTGTAGATTAAGAGATGGGCAGCCCTCTGGGGTCCCTCCATCTTCTCCATGCTTCAGACCTTTACACCTTCCTCTAGTCCTTCATGAGGATTAAGGGAATAACTCTGAATTCAGTAACAGCAAGGGTATGTCTTACTTACTTAGTTCTTTTCTTTTTCTTTTTGAGATGAAGTCTCACTCTGTCACCCAGTCTGGAGTGCAGTGGCATAGTCTCAGTTTACTGCAACCTTTGTCTCCCAAGTTCAAGCAATTCTCCTGCCTCAGCCTCCCAAGTAGCTGGGATTACAGGCAACCGCCACCACAGCTGGCTAATTTTTATATTTTTAGTTGAGATGGTTTCACCATGTTGGTCAGACTGGCCTTGAACTCCTGACCTCAAGCAATCCACCCACCTTGGTCTCCCACAGTGCTGGGATTACGGAAGTAAGCCACCATGCCAGACCATCTTACTTCTTTTCTTCTAAACAGGTCTCTCTATCCCAAAGCCTGATGTGATTTCCTTACTGGAGCAAGGTAAAGAGCCCTGGATGGTTTCAAGGGACGTCTTGGGAGGATGGTGCCCAGGTGAGTAAGGACTGAGCAGATGGGGAAGGCACGGCTGTTTAGAATCCAGCCTGTCAGAGGGGCAGCACCATAAAAATATTTATGGTGGAATCTCTTCCCCAAAGTCCCATGCAAGCATTTTGGCCTAAGACACATGGAAAAAAGTCAAGATACCCACTCTCAACTTTTTAAATTTCTTTGAGAAAGAGTCTTGCTCAGTTGCCCAGGCTGGAGTACAGTGGCACAATCTTGGCTTACTGCAACCTCTGCCCCTGGATTGAAGCGATTCTCCTGCCTCAGTCTCTGGAGGAACTGGCATCATAGGCTTCCAGCACCAAACCCAGCTAATTTTTATATTTTTAGTAGAGATGGGGTTTCGCCATATTGGCTAGGCTGGACTCGAACTCCTGATCTCAGATGATCCACCTGCTCTGGCCTCCCAAAGTGCTGGGATTACAGGTGTGAGTCACTGCACCCGGCCAAGAACCCCCTTTTACTTCCACCTCTTGTCATTTCTTCCGATTTCTTTTTTTTTTTTTTTCTTTTTTGAGACGGAGTTTCGCTCTTGTTACCCAGGCTGGAGTGCAATGGCGCGATCTCGGCTCACCGCAACCTCCGCCTCCTGGGTTCAGGCAATTCTCCTGCCTCAGCCTCCTGAGTAGCTGAGATTACAGGCACGTGCCACCATGCCCAGCTAATTTTTTGTATTTTTTTAGTAGAGACGGGGTTTCACCATGTTGACCAGGATGGTCTCGATCTCTCGACCTCGTGATCCACCCGCCTCGGCCTCCCAAAGTGCTGGGATTACAGGCTTGAGCCACCGCGCCCGGCCCCGATTTCAAAGAATAAAGTTTCCTTCTTCAGGAGCCATCCTGTTTCCTGTATCTTAGAGCTACTTTTTTCCCTTTGAAATTTAAGCTCACATTGTTTTTTTTTTTTTTTTTTAATCTTTTAAGATATATTTATTTTTCATACTGATCCTTGACTTCTTTTTGTCTTGTCTTTTCTTAGCTAATTTTCCTTTGATGTAGCCATTTCATGCATCAATGGATATTCATTCACTTTTTCTTTAATTTTTCTGAGATGATGTCTTACTCTGTCACCCAGGCTGGAGTGCAGTGGCACAATCTTGGCTCACTGCAACCTTTGCCTTCTGGGTTCAAGCAATTCTCCTGCCTCAGCCTCCTGAGTAGCTGGGATTACAAGTGCGTGCCACCATGCCCAGCCAATTTTTGTATTTTTAGTAGAGACAGGGTTTTACCATGTTGGCCAGGCTAGTCTTGAACTCTTGACCTCAAGTGATCAACCTGCCTTGGCCTCCCAAAGTACTGGGATTACAGGTGTGAGCTACTGCACCCAGCCTCATTCACTTTTTTTTTTTTTGAGTAGCTGGGAATTCAGGCATGCACCACCGTGCCTGCCTTATTTTGCATTTTTAGTAACGTTGTGGTTTTGCCATGTTGACCAGGCTGGTCTTGAACTCCAGACCTCAAGTGATCCACCTGCCTCAGACTCCCAAAGTGCTGAGATTATAGACATGTGCCACCGTGCTTGGCCCTGTAGAACTTTTAAAATTTACCATCCATGGCACTCATGACCTGACTCAGATTTTTTTTTAGAAAATCTCATCACTTCTGAATAAATTTTAGCTGTTCCATCTTGAATATGGTTTGATCCCTGTTCTTTCAGTATTACTTTCAGGAAGGCTAATGAGATCTTTGACTTTTCTTTATGACTGTTAACCTTCCTTTTGGGTTTCCAATTATTTAACCATTCTGGAGAGGTTTTGTTGTTTTCTTTTTCTCTCTCCTTTTCTCCTTGAAATTTATATGTTGAAGAAACTGAATCATCTGTTGTTTAACATGTAGCTCCCTTCCCTTTACTCCTTTCTTTCCTATAAACTATTGTATATTTCATCAAGAAGCACATGTCTGGTTGCTTCTCTTTTTGTGATAGCAGCCATTCCTCATCTCATCCCCCAAAATTACCAGGTAATTTAAAAACAGGTGTCCTGGGCCGGGCGCGGTGGCTCACGCCTGTAATCCCAGCACTTTGGGAGGCCGAGGTGGGTGGATCACAAGGTCAAGAGATCGAGACCATCCTGGTCAACATGGTGAAACCCCGTCTCTACTAAAAATACAAAAAATTAGCTGGGCATGGTGGCGCATGCTTGTAATCCCAGCTACTCAGGAGGCTGAGGCAGGAAAATTGCCTGAACCCAGGAGGCAGAGGTTGCGGTGAGCCGAGATCGCGCCATTGCACTCCAGCCTGGGCAACAAGAGCAAAACTCCATCTCAAAAAAAAAAAAAAACAAAACAGGTGTCCTTATGAACATACAGATTTTAAAAATATTTGATGTGATTATTGTAACTACATTACAACGATTACAGTTATTATTCTTGAATTCATGCTCAACTTGTCCCAACTTAGGCCAATAAGACACTCTTCACAATGGTTCCTGAATCTATTTGACATGACCCTAAGAGTCTTGAATAGCTTCTTTGCTTTTTTAATATGCCAGCTTTTTCGATGTACATAATGCACACTTTCTGTCCTAATGCCAAGATGCTCCAAGGAGCCCAGGTTCTGTGTGGTAAAAGATGGTATTTAGAGACAGTAATCTGTCATCTGTCATTAGCGTGTTCATTGCTACTGGACTGGTTGTTTCTAAGACTTCAACAGATGAAGATGGAAAGTATTTTTTAAAAATCATGATTGCAGTCTTACATTGCCAATTCAAATTCATTCATTGAATTTTAAGTTTCAATGATTCATGTGTTAATTTTTAGACCCCATTTGTGTCTTTTACAAAAATTTGCTTGGCCTTTTTGCTAATGAAATGTTACTTTCTCACTTTAAAAAAGTAAACTTTAGGTTTTAGTATAGATTTACAAAAAAGCTACAGGTTAGTGCAGAGACTTCCCATATACATCACATGTAGTTTCCCATTAACATCTTATATTTGTACATTTGTCATAATGAATGAATGTTGATCCTATCCAATAATAATATTGTTGAAGCAATGTTATTATTATTCTTTATCTCTCCTATGGTGCTGAGCTCTATTATTATTAATGAAAGCCCCTAATTACTGAGATTTCCTTAGCTTTTACCTAATGTCCTTTTTTTCTATTCTAGGATCTCATCTAGGATAACACATTATATTGAGTCATCATGTCTCCCTTGGCTCCTCTTTGCTTTGACAGCTTTTCAGGCTTTCCTTGTTTGTGATTATCTCAATAGTTTTCGAGAGTTCTGGCCAGGTATTTTGTAGATTGTCTCTAATTTTGGGACTTGCCTAGTGTTTTTCCAGTGATTAGACTGGAGTTCAGCATTTTTTTTTTTTTTTGAGACAGAGTTTCGCTCTTGTTACCCAGGCTGGAGTGCAATGGCGCGATCTTGGCTCACCACAACCTCCGCCTCCTGGGTTCAGGCAATTCTCCTGCCTCAGGCTCCTGAGTAGCTGGGATTACAGGCACGTGCCACCATGCCCAGCTAATTTTCTGAATTTTTAGTAGAGACGGGGTTTCACCATGTTGACCAGGATGGTCTCGATCTCTTGACCTCGTGATCCACCCTCCTCGGCCTCCCAAAGTGCTGGGATTACAGGCGTGAGCCACCGCGCCTGGCCTTGGAGTTCAGCATTTTTTAGAAGGAAGCACACAGAGATAAACTGCTGTTCTCATCACATGATATAAGGGCACCTACTATCACTATATATGCATACCATCTTTCCTTTTTTTTTTTGAGGCAGGGTCTTGCTCTGTCACCCAGGATGGAGTGCAGTGGCACAGTCATAGCTCACTGTACCCTTGAAATCCTGGGCTCAGGCAGTCCTCCTGTCTCAGATTCCCAAAGTGCTGGGAGTACAGGCATGAGCCACCACACCCAACCTGTCTTTACTTCTTAAGGAGTAAAGATTATTTCATTATTTTCAGTTTGTCTCCCCTTTCTAACATAGATATTTTTATTTCTAATCAACAAGGAAACACTATGTTTTTGCTTTCTGATTATTTTTCAGACTTGGAGTTCAGATGTAAGACCAAATATTCACGTCTGCCAAAAGAAATCTATGAAGTAACATCATCTCAGTGGGTAAGAATGGAAAAACGTCATAGCCTTGTGGGCTCCAGTATCAGAGATGACTGGGAAAACAAAGGCCAGTTTGAGCAACAAGGTATAAATCAGGAGCGACATTTGGAAAAAGCATTAATGACTTATGAAAAAATGCCAACTTTCTGCCTACAGACATCTCTCACTCTGCATCAGATTCATCCTGGAGAGAAAGTATATAAATCCACAGAATCTATGGCTCTTAAGTATGGCTCAGAACTTACACAAGAGCAAGAAACCCATACTAGTGAAAAACTCTATAAATGTAAGGAGTGTGAGAAGGCCTTTGGTCATTTTTCCTGTCTTGTTAAACATCAGAGAATTCATACTAGGGAAAAGCCCTATGCATATAAAGAATATGGAAAAGCTTTTGTTTCTGGTTCACATCTTATCCAACACCAGAAAATTCATACAGATGAGAGACCCCATGAGTGTCAGGAATCTGTGAAGGCCTTTAGACCGTCTGCACACCCTACTCAACATCAGAGAATTAATACTGGTGATAAACCTTATCAATGTAAAGAATGTGGAAAATCTTTTACTTCTGGCTCAACACTAAATCAACATCAGCAAATTCACACTGGTGAGAAACCCTATCATTGTAAGGAATGTGGAAAATCTTTTACTGTTCGCTCAACACTAATTCGACACCAGCGAATTCACACTGCTGAAAAACCTTATGATTGTAAGGAATGTGGAAAATCTTTTGTTTCAGTCTCAGCATTAATTAGACATCAGCGAATTCACACTGGTGAGAAACCCTATGAGTGTAAGGAATGTGGAAAATCTTTTACTTTTCGCTCAGCACTGATTCGACATCAGCGAATTCACACTGGTGAGAAACCCTATCATTGTAAGGATTGTGGAAAATCTTTTACTTTTCGCTCAGGGTTAATTGGACATCAGACAATTCACACTGGTGAGAAACCCTATGATTGTAAAGAATGTGGAAAATCTTTTACTGCTGGCTCATCACTAATTCAACATCAGCGAATTCACACTGGTGAGAAACCCTATGATTGTAAGGAATGTGGGAAATCTTTTGCTTCGGCCTCAGCGCTACTTCAACATCAGCGAATTCACACTGGTGAGAAACCTTATTGTTGTAAGGAATGTGGAAAATCTTTTACTTTTCGCTCAACACGAAATCGACATCAGCAAATTCACACTGGTGAGAAACCCTATGATTGTAAGGAATGTGGGAAATCTTTTGCTTCTGGCTCAGCACTACTTCAGCATCAACGAATTCACACTGGTGAGAAACCCTATCATTGTAAAGAATGTGGAAAATCTTTTACTTTTCGCTCAGGGCTAATTGGACATCAGGCAATTCACACTGGTGAGAAACCCCATGATTGTAAAGAATGTGGAAAATCTTTTACTTTTCGCTCAGCACTGATTCACCATCAGCGAATTCACACTGGTGAGAAACCTTATAATTGTAAGGAATGTGGAAAATCTTTTACTGTTGGCTCAACACTAATTCAACATCAGCAAATTCACACTGGTGAGAAACCCTATGAGTGTAAGGAATGTGGCAAGACCTTTAGACTTCGTTTACGACTTACTCAACATCAACAGATCCATACTGGTGAGAAATCTTACCAATGTCAGGAATGTGGGAAAGCCTTTACCAGTGTCTCAGGACTCACCCAACATCACAGAATTCACACTGGTGAGAAACCCTATGAATGTCCAGAATGTGGGAAGGCCTTTACACAGCGTACATATCTTAATCAACACCGGAGAATTCATACTGGTGAGAAACCTTATGAATGTAAAGAATGTGGGAAATCTTTTACTTTCTGCTCAGGACTAATTCAACATCAGCAAAATCACACTGGCGAGAAACTCTATGATTGTAAGGAACGTGGGAAATCTACTTCTCGCTCAACACTGATTCAACGTCAGCAAACACACACTGGTGAGGAACTTTATGATGATAAGGAACGTGGGAAATCTTTTACTTCTCATTCAACACTAATTCAACATCAGCGAATTCACACTAGTGAGAAACTCTATGATTGTAAGGAATGTGGGAAATCTTTTACTTCTAATTCAACACTAACTCAACATCAGCGAACGCACACTGGTGAAAAACCCTATCACTGTAAGGAATGTGGGAAATCTTTTACTCTTCGCTCAGCACTAATTCAACATCGGCCAATTCACACTGGTGAGAAACGCTATGATTGTACGGAATGTGGAAAATCTTTTACTTCTCACTCTACACTAATTGAACATCAGCGAATTCACACTGGTGAGAAACCCTATCATTGTAAGGAATGTGGAAAATATTTTACTTTTCGCTCAGCACTAATTCAACATCAGCAAATCCACACTGGTGAGAAACCCTATGATTGTAAAGAATGTGGGAAGGCCTTTAGACGTCGTTCAAAACTTACTCAACATCAACGAATCCACACTGGTGAGAAACCTTATCAATGTCAGGAATGTGGGAAAGCTTTTGTCCGTTTGTCAGGACTCACCAAACATCACAGTATTCACACTGGCGAGAAACCCTATGAATGTAAGACATGTGGGAAGTCCTTCAGACAGCGTACACACCTTACTCTACATCAGAGAATTCATACTGGTGACAGACCTTATGAGTGTAAAGAATGTGGAAAATCTTTTACTTGCGGCTCAGAACTAATTCGACATCAGCGAACTCACACTGGTGAGAAACCTTATGATTGTAAGGAATGTGGGAAGGCCTTTCGATGTCCTTCACAACTCAGTCAACATAAACGAATCCATACCGGTGACAAAACATATCAATGTCCAGAATGTGGGAAAGCCTTTTTCTATGCCTCAGGACTCAGCCGACATTACAGTATTCACACTGGTGAGAAGCCTTATGAATGTAAGACATGTGGGAAGGCCTTTAGACAGCTTACACAGCTAACTCAACATCGGAGAATTCATGACCTAACATAATTAATGTAGGAAACCATTCTCATGCCATTAGTTTGACATGGATCATCAGCAGATTCCATATGTGGGTCAAACACAATGGATGTGGGAATTCCTTTTACTTCATATTCACTTTTTTCAAAATTAGGAAATTTAATACTGAAAGAAGTTGATAACGAATGTAAATGAGTTTTCTATCATGACTCAAAGCTTGTTGAAATACAAATTCATATTAGAGAATGTGGTCAATGACAAATGACAACCATTTACTACCTATGTGACATTTGGCTAATTATGTAAACTCTCTGTGCCAAAATTATTAAATGATAAAATGTTGATAGTATTAGTTTTTCTGTTTGTTTTGAGATGGAGTCTCACTCTTGTTGCTCATATTTTTAGTAGAGATGGGGTTTCCCCATGTTGGCCAGGCTGGTTTCGAACTCCTGACCTCAAGTGATCCACCCGCCTTGGCCTCTCAAAGTGTTGAGATTACAGGCATGAGCCACTGTACCTGGTTCCAGCTCCTTTAAAAATATTTAGACATACATATATTTCCAAAGAAACTCATGCATCAATATATTCAATATTTCTTGAGTGCACACTCTGAGCCATCCCTGTGTTAGGAACTGTTGATACAATATAGTGTGTAAGAAAAATAAGAACTTTGTTGTTTTGGAGTTTGCTTTAAGTATAGTAGACAGAGTAACAAACAAATATATTATATATGTAATATAGAACCAGGCTGTATGTGTGCTATAAAGGTAAGGTAAGGGATTAGAGAAAAATGGGGTGGGCAGGGCTAATTTGGCTAAGGTGGTCAGGAAAGGCATTTCTTTTTTTTAATTTTAATTTTCTTTTTTTTTTTTTTGAGACGGAGTTTGACTCTTGTTACCCAGGCTGGAGTACAATGGCGCAATCTCGGTTCACTGCAACCTCCGCCTCCTGGGTTCAAGCAATTCTCCTGCCTCAGCCTCCTGAGTAGCTGGGATTACTGGCACGTGCCACCATGCCCAGCTCATTTTTTGTATTTTTAGTAGAGACAGGGTTTCACCATGTTGACCAGGTTGGTCTTGATCTCCTGACCTCGTGATCCACCCGCCTCGGCCTCCCAAAGTGCTGGGATTACAGGCATGAGCCACCGCACCCAGCCTTAATTTTAATTTTCTTTTACAAAGACGGGGTTTCACCATGTTGGTCAGGCTGGTCTTGAACTCCCAACCTCAGGTGATCCGCCCGCCTTGGCCTCCAAAGTGCTTGGATTACAGGCGTGAGTCACCGTGCCCGGCCAGGAAAGGCATTTCTGACAAGTTGGTATTTGCATGAATGTAGATATCTGGTTGGATTTTATTGTACATAAATTGTACTTCCATAAAGTTGATGAAAACTTAAAAACTCATCCACTATGTACTTCAGATTATTGTATTTCATTCTATTTAAATTATACTTCCATTTAAAAAAGTTAACACATCTCTACAGCTCACTGATCTATCCATTTCTACTTTTACTAATATGCTATGGATGATTTTAAAAATATATATCTTAACCATTAAGGATGATAAAACAACCTTTTAAGAAGGTTATTTTAAGGTTAATCAATTGAGGCTTTGTCTCAACTGATTCTTTTGTATCAATCTGTAGTCAGTTGAGGTTTGTCTCAATTTATTGAAACAAATCAAATGTTTGTTCTCAAATTCTTACTCTGTCATTTATTATTCCTTCTCCATGTTTTTGGTACGGGTTCCTTGGCAGTATTTAAACATAAATATGTATAGAGAGAGTGAAGATGGAAGAGTGCTTTTTATAATTCACAGTTGTCTTTTTCGTGTGTGACAGGGTTTTGCTGTGTTGCCCAGGCTGGAGTGCAATGGCACAATCTCGGCTCACTGCAGCCTCAACTTCCCCGGCTCAATTGATCCCCCACCTCAGCCTCCCGAGTAGCTGGGACTACAAGTGCACACCACCACACAGAGCTAATTTTTGTATTTTTTGTAGAGAAAGGGTTTCATCATGTTGCCAGGATGGTCTTGAACTCCTGGGCTCAAGTGATCCTCCCACCTCAGCCTCCTAGGTGCTGGGACTTTAGAGGTGTGAGCCACTGTGCTCAGCCAATACTCCATATTTTTACTCTTTTTGTCAAAAAAGTAGGGAGAAATAATTTTTTAAAGAGCAGAGAAAAGCACAATGAAAACAGAAAGATCACCTGTATATTCTTATCAACCAAAGATGATCTATTTGGGGTAAATCATTTTAATAGAGGACTTTCAATATTTCTAGTCTGCCACAGTGTTGGAAAGAAGAATCATTACTGACATCTTATGGCATTGAGTTTTTCTCTTCCTGTACCTGGTATATCTCTATGATTCAGTAGGTATTCTTTTAGGTGCTTTAGTAAGTCTTTATATTTTTAGCATAAAGGTTTACAAATTTCTTATTTTACTTATTTCTAGATGATTTTTTTGTTTATATTACGATTGGGATACTTTTTCTGTTATGTATGTAATTGACTACTATTACTCTGTACTAAATGCTGTTTTTTTGTCTAAGGATTGTAACATTGATAAACTAGCAGATCAAATGGTTTCTTCATGAGATTGAATTGTCTAGAAAGATGTCGGTATTATTTGTAAATAAAAATGTTTGTCTATTCCTTTCTATATGCCTTATTTCTTAATTTGTCCTTGTAGCTTGGATCATATGTATAGTATGAATGTCTACAGCACTAATTAGTTTCCTCATCTTGACCCTTTCTGTAAGGGCGTTTTTTTTTTGTTGTTGTTTTTGTTTTTTCAGGGTCTCTCACTCTGTTACCAGGCTTGAATGCAGTGGCATTATCACTGCTCACTGCAGCCTCAACCTCCAGGCTCAATAAATCCTTCCACTTCAGCCTCCCGAGTAGTTGGGACTACAGGTGTGCACTACCATGCCTGGCACATTTTTGTATTTTTTGTAGAGGTGGGGTTTTGCTATGATGTCGAGGCTGGTGTAGAACCTCTGGGCTCAAGCAATCCACCCTCCTCAGCCTCCCCAAGTGCTGGGATTACAGGTGTGAGCCATCATGCCTGGCCAAAGGACTTTCTTTTGTTGTTTGCTTTTTGAAATGGAGTCTCTCTCTGTCCCCCAGACTGGAGTGCAGTGGCGTGATCTCAGCTCACTGCAACCTCCACCTCCCAGGTTCAAGAAATTCTCCTGCCTCAGCCTCCTGAGTAGCTGGGATTATGGGTATGTACCACCACATCTGGCTGCTTTTGTATTTTTAATAGAGACATGGTTTCTCCATGTTGGTCAGGCTGGTCTCAAACTCCCAACCTCAGGTGATCCACTCACCTTGGCCTCCCAAAGTGCTGGGATTACAGGTGTGAGCCACCATGCCAGACCTCTCTTTTCTTTGAAATGGGCGTCTATCTCTGTCACCCAACCTAGAGTGAAGTGGCATGATCATGGCTCACTACAGCCTCAACCTGTCAGGCTCAAGTGATCCTTCCACCTCAGCCTCAAGTGTAGCTGTCTGTAGGCATGGGCCACCACACTCAGCTAATTTTTGTATTTTCTGTAGAGATGAGGTCTTGTTATGTTGCCCAAGTCTGGTCTTGAACTTCTGGGCTCAAGTGATTAACCTACCTCTGCCTCCCAAAGTACTGGGATTACAGGCTTGGTCAGTCTTTTAAAATTAGTTTTGGGTCTACTTGTTCTGTCAGTGATAGGGGAGTGTTGGAGAGAGATAGCACGGGGAGAAATGCCAGATATAAGTGAAAGGGAGGAAGGCAGCAAATCACACTGCCATGTGTGTACCTATGCAACAATCTTGCATGTTCTTCACATGCACCCCAAAACCTAAAATGAAATTTAAAAAATTAAAAAAAAAAAAAAAAGAAGTGATAGGGGAGTGTTGAAATAACTAATGATAATTGTGTATTTCTCTGTATCTTTTTCAGTTTTATCTGTTTTTGATCTGTGCCTTTTGGAGCTCAGTTATTACATACTTATACATTTATGATTGTTTTTCCCATTTATCATTACAAAATTCCCTCTTTGCTCTGACCTGGTAACAGTCCTTCTTGTGAAGCCTACTTTGTCTGATATTAATATAGCCACGATTGGTGGTTGCATGGTATAGCTTCCCCCCCACCCCCCCTTTTTTTTTTAAATATAAATATGAGGTTTCACCATGTTTGTCAGGCTGGTCTTGAACTCCCGACCTCAGGTGATCCGCCTGCCTTGGCCTCCAAAGTGCTTGGATTACAGGCGTGAGCCACCATGCCCGGCCCCATCTTTTTTTACTTTTAAACTATCTAGGTATTTAAATTTAAAGTGAGTGTCTTATAGACAATGTATAGTTTTTGTTTGCTGTTTTGTTATTATTATTGTTGTTGTTTTGAGACATGGTTATGCTCTGTCACCCAGGCTGGAGTGCAGTGGTGCAGTCACAACTCACTGCAGCCTCAACCACCTGGGCTCAAGCATTCCTCCTGCCTCAGCCTTCTAAATAACTAGCACCACAGGCACGTGCCATGCCTGGCTATGTTCTTGCATTTTTATCCAATCTGACAATCTCTGCCTTTAGTTGTAGTGTTTAGATCAAGGAATGGCAAACTATGGTTCCCAGGCTAAATCCAGCCTCACCCGTTTTATATATAAAGTTTTGCTGGAATACACCATGCCCATTTGTTTACATGTTTAAAATTGCTTTTCTGATACAACTAAGGGGTTGAGTGATTTGACAGAGACTCTATGGTCCACAAAACTTACATTTATACTCTGGCCTGTTACTGATAAAAGTTCTCTGATCCCTGGTTTAGAGTAACATCTCAAGTGAGTATCAGTATGGTGAGATTTAGTTCCACCAGCTTGCCATTTGTTTTGTCCTGTTCCTTGCTTGTTCCTTTCTTCTTTTTCTTTCTTTTCTTTCCTTTTTTTTGAGTCTCCCTCTGTCGCCTGGAGTGCAGTTGCACAATCTCGGCTCACTGCAACCTCCAACTCCCAGGTTCAAGCTATTCTCCTCCCTCAGTCTCCCGAGTAGCTGGGATTACAGGCACTTGCCATCATGCCCAGCAATTTTTTTGTATTTTTAGTAGCGATGGGCTTTCACCATGTTGGCCAGGATGGTCTCGATCTCCTGACATCAAGTGATCCACCTGCCTCAGCCTCTCAAAGTGCTGGGATTACAGGTGTGAGCCACCATGCCCAGCCTGTTCCTTTCTTCTTTAAAATTGTTTTTCATGATTCCATTTTATCTCTATTATTTATTAATTATACCTCTGTTTTTATATTTTCTAGGACTTTCTCTTATGTCTATAATATACATCTATTTTTTATGTTTATTATGGTTTGTTTTGTTTTGTTTTGTTTTGTTTT